CAATTTCTTGTTGGATTTATTCCTCGATCCAAGAGTTTTTCTATCAAGTTTTCCATCTTTTCTAGAGAGAAAGGATATCGTAAAACAAAAGAAAATAAAAATAAACTTTTCAAACTTCAGGAGAAACTCAAACCAGCCGCGCACACATCTTCATTTTCAACATATTTGGACTCTTAAGCATACATTGGTATGGTTTCTAGAATATGCTTATCAACTGTTTATTATACTATATGATAGTATTTTACAGTTGGACCAAATGCCTCGTGACATTTCCAACTGTAAAATATGTGGATGGGGGAATTGTTGAAATGGTAAGATGGTTATTGCAAGTACATGTTGCTCATTGAATGGATAGATAGGTGGTATTGCATCAAATCGTGGCCCAAACGATTCCGTACATCTTCGAGTAAATAAACACAGGTATGACGAGATAATTTTCTTTCCTAATATGAGAAACCACATTTCTAATTCACTTAGGCATTAACTCGTGTAGCAGTAACCCTTGTCGTAACAGAGGTACTTGTCAGGCTGGTGTTGGCTGGTACAGATGTTCGTGTCCTTCTAGATACACTGGACAACAATGTCAGACTTGTAAGTAACAGTCATGCAATATATAGATCAATGTTGTATTTGACGCTACAATTGATCCCCAAAATCATCAGACCAGTTTAACGGGAATGCTGCTATTCTAACTGAGATAACCTATTCATTTTGGATCTAGACATGGCGTGTACTAGTGGTCCTTGTCGTAACGGAGGTACTTGTCACAATCGTTATTATGGAGGATATTCCTGTTCCTGTCCCAATGGCTACACTGGTAGACAATGCCAAACAGGTATATTACCCTTATGGTCACTATGGTAGACATAAAGATTATATTTCATCAAGCTAATTGTTCTTGGAAAAATGGATAGATAGGTGGTATTGCATCAAATCGTGGCCCAAAAGATTCCGTACATCTTTGAGTAAATAAACATTAAATTTTCTTTCCTAATATGAGAAACCACATTTCTAATTCACTTAGGCATTAACTCGTGTAACAGTAACCCTTGTAGTAACAGAGCGACTTGTCAGGGTGGTGTTGGCTGGTACAGATGTTCCTGTCCTTCTGGATACACTGGACAACAATGTCAGACTTGTAAGTAACATTCAAACAATAGACTAATAGACTAGACCAGTTTAACGGGAATGCTTCTATTCTAACTGATAACCTATTCATCTTGAATCTAGACATGTACCCGTGTAACAGTGGCCCTTGTCGTAATGGAGGCACTTGTTACAATCGTTATTATGGAGGATATTCCTGTTCCTGTCCTAATGGCTACACCGGTAGACAATGCCAAACAGGTATATTACCCTTATGGTCACTATGGTAGACATAAAGATTATATTTCATCAAGCTAATTCTTCTTGGAAAAATATTCCGAGCTCCAGGTGGGATTCGAACCTGCAAACTCATCTGTTTGCTAAGTCGGCAGACGCTTTTACCACTGAGCTTAAATCCTTGTAAAACACTGTAGTTTATATAATAAGCCCCATATCTAATCCACCAGGGCCGTAACCAGGGG